CTGCCACTAGCTGTAAACAAATTGAAAATTGTAATTGAATGAAAATTGTAAATGGACTAAATCACTCGGTAAAAACTGTTCCATACATGAATATGTATAAATATGTATAAATATACATAAACAGGCATAAATATTCATAAACGTATATAATTATATATGAAATATGTCCATATATGTTCATACATCCTTTTTTCTTTTCTAAAATTACTTTTTAGTGTAATAGAAATAATAATAGTAATATGAAAACATAAAAAATAATTAAAGGGATAATTTTCGCATTGTTTATTTTAGAAAAAAATATGCTTGGAAAAATGTAAAAAAAAATTGTTCATACATAATTATGCATAATTTTATATAAGTGCCCGCCAAAAGTCACCTGAATAATTTCTGAATGTTCGAGATATAAGATGTCTAAAATAAATAGTGCGAAAATTACATTTTCAATTATTTTTAACATCATATACTTAATCTTTAATACTTTCACTACATGTTTGTAGCGAAAATTTGTTATATTTTAATTATGTGATCGGAAAAAAATAAACGTTTCGATCTTAAATTAGGTTATCTTCAGTATTACGAAATTACATGATACAGTATTATTAAAGAAATTATCAAATTCTGAATAACGCATATAATATAATGTCGCAGAATAATAAAGAGTATAAAATGCCAAGTTATAAATTGTAAGAAAAATTTTTCAAATGTTCACAACAAGTAATCTTTACTTCCTTCTCTTTGAAGATTTAACTCAGCAAAGATTACTTGTTGTGAACATTTGAAAAATTTTTCTTATAATTTATAACTCGGCATTTTATACTCTTTATGCGTTATTTAGAATTTGTATTTATTGTTACTGTTAATGTTTTCACATTACTATTATTATTTCTATTACTAAAAAGAAATTTTACAAAAGAAAAAAGAATGTATGAACATGTATAAACACATTTCACATATAATTATACATGTGTGAATATTTGTGCGCGTGTTCATGTTTATTTTATACATATTTGTACACATACATGTTTGTTTTATATATATTTGTACATGTTCATACAAAATTTTTTATTAGGGCATTTAAAACGCTGTTGCGTTTCTTTATCATATATAAAATATGTGCATAACTAAAACATTTGTTACATAATCTTTATCGTGTATAAAATCTGTGCATATAATGACATTGTCAAGAGTTACAGAATAGGGGTCTACAAATTACAGAAAATAGATTCAACGTATATTCTATCATGTACACTTACTCTAGAACCTTTCGCAGGCCACATAAGTTGCCAAGGCGTAAGAGATACTACCACCACATCAAAACCTTGTTCCATATACAAATTAACAAACTTCATAACATGTCGTCGTTCTGATAATAGCCAAGTGAGAATCACTAACAAAGGACGATTGTTTGTTACATTTAGAGTCTGAGCAATGTTTTTAGATGAGATAATACGATTATTTTGTGTAAGAAATTCAATATTCTTTGAGACATGATGCGAAGATATCGTTCGTGTCAATTGTCCAAGACCCTTAAAAAACAGGTAAATGTGATAACAAAAGAGGTACATGATTAATACAATTGTATCTAAGTGATATTATCATTACAATTGCAAATGAGAGAATACATTACCAAGTATGGGTTTCGTTTTAATAACTGTGACTGCATGCACAAGCCAATCTGTCTTCCCGAAAAGGTATTGCATAAAGCTCTAATTATCATTGTGATAAAGGATCTTCTGTCTTTTTCATATACCTATAATAAGAAAATATAAGAAATTAAATATTAATTACTTCTGTAATAGAATTCTTTGTTTATATACATAATTAAAAATCAGATTCGTGAAATTTCAAGATTTGTTTACAAACAATATTATAATTACTAATTTGCGATTAATATTTACCAATTGATTCTCTTTATAAATTCCACTCAGTCAGATACCACTGAATGAGTTTAATAGTTTAGTGATTCTGCTGACTGTATGTAATCAATGATCCCTTAGGATTGGTTTGTCAATTATATCTCATATAATTATTTTATCTTTTAACTTTCACCTCTCTTCTCTCTCTTTTATCGTTTCGAAAGATATTAAATTTCACTTAGCTAACTGATTTGCATTCAGACTGTTGACAAGTAATTCTCTCAAATATTATTTGAATGAAGTAATCACGATTACTGCCGCTAACTCGCGAGTGACAACTGACAGTGAGTGAGATCGACTGGTTGACTGATGGAGCGTTCAACGGACACTATAGTTTAGTGACGTTCATTATAATTATTGCCTGACGATTGGAATAGAGTTCCATTAAATTCCTTTAGATCCATGATAGATCTAGAAGAATGTACCAATAATAATGAGCATTTACTCAACTGCTGTGTCTGCTGAACGTTATACGCCTTGAATTGCCAAAATAACGGACATCATTATATTCACGCATATACACGCACGTACAAATATTTATAAAGATGTATGCGTTCTTAATGAATAATTCAGATGTATTTATCATACACTGTATATAATTATCACAAAAACTCGCATAAAATTCAAGTTTCGACAATCCAAAAACTCGTATGACACTGTCTGACGGCGATAAACTGCACAGAGCAAGGCGTTTATCGAATTTATCTATTACAATACGACGAATTTCGGTATCAATCCTTATCAAATCTCCGACGTGTTTCTTTGTTTATTGACTCCCACCTTTAATCCTCGTTCGAAAGTTCGTTTGGATCGAAACGAATATGTCTGACACGTCAGAACGGAATCAGACGGAATCGCTTTTCGAACACGTCGCCGCGAGACGCGAACTGCAATAATATATATATATATATATATATGTATGGACACACGTTACACGTGTCGTTCACGCACCCGTATGACCGGATCTTCTTATTTTTCTCTCCGGGGGTGCGTGAACGCGCGCGCACTTCCGCATCTGCGCTCATGACGAGCAAAATCCGCTCTCGTTAGAAGACAGTTCTATGCGCGATATAATTTAATATGAAAAACATAACGAAATGATTAAAGAATGCACATATAATAAATTATATTATAATACGAAGTACACATCGCAAAAAATTGTAGACAAAAACGTGTCAGATTTTTATCCCTGAAGCCTGAATTATATTAGACCGTCAAATATGGATTTTTAAATGACGCATAAAAATGGAAGAGATGAAAAGAGCACGTGAAATACGCTGAATGGTGTATACGTGTATACTGTATTTCAAAAGAACATCCTTCTTATTTGCGATAATTTTTTACGCGGTTAAACAAAAGTTCACGAAATTTGTATCTTTCAGAAAGCAAAGTACGAATGCGAGCTGTGGACATTTTTATCGTAAATATCACATATTTTGAAACGATAGAAAACAAAATATTCAGACGATTTTAGTCTTGCATCTTTCATAAATAATAATCAAAACAACTCAGCAAACGAGAATGGATTGAAATGGATTAAAATGGATTCAGATTTTCAGAAATATGGATTCGTAAATGAATCCTTTTAAAATGAATCCTTTTCAATCCTGATCATGCATTTTTATTCATTTATAGGAATTGCATGAAACAAATATCTATTCCTTTTCAATCTTGAATGCATTTTATATAATAATATACTGCTTAATTTAAAATTCTGAATAGGAAATGTAATTTTTCCAGTTGAATCTAAAATATCGATTATTTCTATACATTGTGAATACTAAAATTCAAAATTCCAAATTCTGAATAGGAAATGTAGTTTTTTAATCTAATTGAATAAAAATTTTTCTTTTAATGGCCTATTTTCTTAAAATTCCATTTCAATCCATTTTCGTTTGTTGGGAAGATCTATTTAAAAACGAATGATATGTGATACGTTTAAATTCCATTAAAATTTTTATTTGATAAAGCTTATATGCGACGTTCAAAAAGTTAAGAAAAAAAACAAGCTGAGATTAGATTGATTAATCGCGTTGTACGTAAATGCAGTTTTTATGGAACAATAAAGCAATTCTACGCGTATAATGCGATTGGTCAACGAATTGAAAAAACTCGTTTTATTTCAAACGTATTTTACAAACGAGCAATGTATTATGACCTATGTAGTATAATATACATAATTGATGAGCAGTTAGTAACTTTTAATGTACGTTTACACTCACATTATATTACTACAGAGGAGAGAATTTTTTCTTAGAATTACTGAACCCGGTAAAAGGTTTTTCATGCATGAATATGTATAAATATAAACATATATAACCACGCATAAACATTCATAAACATGTATAATTATATATGAAATATTATATATGAAAAATTTTTTACCGAGAAAATATAACAGTCGTGGAACGACATTGTATTTCAGAGAATTTTAACATAAATTTCTCTCATTTATTAATAAGATTACAATAAAGTATAAAATAAGTTTGATCAATTTTACTAAAGTGCACGGTAAAAATCTTTAAAATATTGTATTCTACCACAACTACCATATTTTCAGAGTAAATTTTAAAAGAAAATTCTATCCATGTACTAATATGAATAAAGTATCGAACATAGCAATCACATTAATATTTATTATTAATCGTAATTAAATGTAATTCTATATGTTAGTATTATATAATGCTAATATAAAAAGTATTTGCAGAAATACAAATTCTTGAAGCGTCTCTTCCCATATAGCACAGAAGATTAAAGTAATATTACTGCAATGTTGTAATATTACAGATTGCAATGTAATATTGCAGAGATATTACAGAAATGTAAATTAACAATATGCCTGCAAAATGTTAGTAATATGCTTGTAATATTCATTGCACAAACATTGCAAAAGTGTAATTCTTTAATTGTTACAATAATAATAATGTAAAAATATAAGTTTTTACAATATTTATGTAGTAGTCTTTTAGTTTAAGTCGTTTTTATGATATAATCATTAATATAATTCATTTTATATTTAAATAAAAAATTTATTGATCTATTATTTGACGGCCATTTTATTAGCTGTTTTATATTTATTTTAAATATGAAATCAAAAGATTGTATAATATCGAGTTTGGATATAATCAATATTTCAATAATTACTTATCGGATAAGACGATAAATAATTAAGCTGCTGAAAACAATTTATCGAAATATTAATCATGTGATCGATGATATTTATGCTTGATGTAAATGCAAGAATAAATCAGCGCCAAAACTTTATTGAAATTATTTAAATTTCATACCATCATTTTTTAATCGATTTCAATTGATTCGGAGTGGTTCCGAATTAAAAAGATTCACTGCGATTAACTTAATCCATGATTAACTTACCAAGCGACTGTATTATTATATTAATGTGGATAATATTTGTAATTTGTTCGAGACACATACTTTATCCTTACGAATAAATTCCTCCTTCAGAATTAATATTATATTTACTGGAATATTTTATGATTTTATGATAAAAAATTGCTTTTGAAAAGCATTAGAAATGCGATTTGTAGAAAAATTAAAAGTTAGATATATGTATAGAAGGAGTTTTCGTAAAAAATTTATCCAAATACATTACATTGCATACATTATATTGCTGGACCGTTTTGTTGCAATATAACAAAAAGCGAACATCTTAACATTGTTGGAATTTTGTAACAATGATTCAGCAAGCGTTTCGCACCATGCAATATTACAATGTTTTAGTGAAATCATTCTGCATTGTTTCTGCAATCTTTCTGTGCTGTGTGGGTTGTTTGAAATATGGAAAATTAATTGAGATGCAATCAATATTGTAATCTAATTCCAATTAGAATCATGTAACATAATTCTTGTTACACATTATATTATATTAGGTGTAGTAAAAAAAAATCCATTATTTTTGCAATAGATGGCTTTAGTAATCTGCATCTCGTCTACGCGTGAAATTTTAATACGAGTTGCACATAAACATAAAAATGTCGTTGCGAATCTGATAAACACAAAAAAATACCGTATGTTCAAGAATTCGTTCCCGATTGCTCTCTTCTTCAAAATTGCAACAAAGTAAAATAAAGAAAAAAATACGGAACTCCTTAGCTTGCTTGACTGGAACGATTCAATCCTTCCTTGATGGACGAGGTCAATGGTCATGAAGGGGAAAGAAGTTGAATTTATTTGTCACGTCATGCAATTATGTATCCCGTTGATGCATCGATTTTTTTTTCATTATGCACTCACGTATTATCGGACGACAAGAAATGACGACGATCCGAAGGAGTCGGTGATTTATTCGCAAATTACTTACGGCGTAAAATCCAAGCAACGTGATCCACCAGTCAACGAACTACTCAACGAACTAGTCGAACAAGTTGCAACCAGACAACTTTTTGTCGCATGCCTGAGTTACTTAACACGGCGAATGCGGCGATCGCCAGTATTTTGTATTTGCGCTCATCACTGCATGTCTCGTGCATTACATTTCTTTGAAGTAATCTCTGTATGCAATATTTTGCTATAATAAATAGATTCTCAAGATCCTGAGTCACTGATGACATTGCGATTCTAGATATATACGTAACGTACACGTACATCGTTACGATTATATTATCGTAACGAATTTTAAGATTTCTAATCGAAACTTATTCAGAATCTCTAACAAATAATATCTATATAATATCATATCATTGTAATAATATTAGATATTTTATCTCGCTCTTTTATCTGTGTTTCAATCTCGAACATAAAGATAAAAAAAGAATTTTTGCCGATCCTGAAATCATTTAACACAATAGAACTCTTAACGGATTTGTCTTAAATAGCAATCTTTATCTAGTTTTCTCATATTTTCTAAGAATTTACATAAAGAAGTCATATTCAAATGAGTTTACTGCATTCTTATTCTTCAGGAAAAAACTTTTACTTCGTACGATTACATAAAAGTTACTACTACATATAAACCAGATGTTCGTTTTTTTTATTGAACAATTCACCTTTTTTTTCCCCTCTCCGATGTGAAGAGAAAAAAGAGAAAACTAAACTGTGCCATACAGCTAAAAAAGTAACAAGCTTTGTACGGAAAGAGAGGCGGGAATGTTACAGATTATACATAATTTTATACAGATTGTATATAATTTTGATATATCCGTTGCTCATGAAACGGGTAAATTAAAGTTTCTTGGAAATTCGAAAACATCACTACTTTTTATAGTCCATTCAAAAACTGGTTGATTATAAATATAAGGTAGATTATAAATAATTCATTTTAAAGACAAAATTATTTTCAAGGTTATTTCTGTTATAAAGCATTCGATCGAGTCGTCTAAAAATACACTGAGACTGAAAATTGTAATTTTGTATGTATAAAACACGTGTTTTTTGCAAACTTATTATGTGCAACAAAGATAAAATTCCACGCACGTTCCAGACAGAAACATCTTACGTGCAGTTAACTGTACATTGGTGCGTAAAGGACCATGTTAAATAACTTTAATAAACTTCCGACAGGGCACAATTGATACGCTCGCGTGCAAAGAAGCGCTTTTACATCAAGAAGACCAGCTGTTGCATTAAAGTAGACAGCACGAATGGCATCAATGCGTGAACATCAAACAAATAAAACTAGAGAAATCTATTATTTAAGCGCTTCTCTCCGTATAAAAAATTAGATGCATTCCTGAGATATAATAGTATTTTTGTCAAGCTTTTATGAATATATTGATACGATATATTCTGCTGTGTGTACTAAAAAAAGGTAACTTTTTAAGAAAAAAAAGAACATTCTACCTTTAGAATAACAAATGTAATGAGAAAAATGATGATAATGGTATCTGTAGCAATAGCGAATTCGATTCGCTTGCATTAATCACTGTTCTGATTATGTTAAAAGCTACTATATATGTAGTTATTTAATATATGTTAAAAACATAATATAAAACATTTTCACTCACTGATAAAATCATCGTCAATGTATATTTTTAGCTGTAATATTTATATTTTATTAAATAAAGTATTTATATTATGCTTTTCCATTTAAATATCTCCATATATGGCAGTTTTTAAAGCACTGGAACAGAGTCTGTGCATGTCTATCGAAACTGCTCTCTATAATACAATAGACTACAAAAGACTTCAACTTCC